GGCGATTTGGTCGAAGTGGTCATTGTACGACCGGACGAGGAGATAAACTCGTCATCGCCTCTGGATAAAGCTGTCTTGGAGGACACCAAGAGAGTGCTGAACGCACGAAATGGATCGTCAATCCTACGGAACCCCTTGGATCGGTACTATCCTTTGGTAAGGAATTTCAAGAGGTCGTCTCCAAAGACCCGCCTTCGGTCCTACCTCCAAACCGAGGTGTGCGTCATGAGATCGACCTGGTTCCGGGAACCAAATACTGCGTAACATGCTAATGGCCCCTGCCCAAGGAGCAGCTCAGCGTCATTGACGCCTTTTCTGTGCGAAGCACGACGCAGGGCTGGTACGTGAGAGCAAGTCTTCCCATTCGACACCCACGGTTTGTGTTTGGAAGCCGAACGGCAAGTGGCGTATCGTTAATGCTTACAATAAGCTCGACGCTGCCAATATTCCGGCACAGACGCCGATGCCTAGAAAGGATGTTCTTCAGAACAACATGGTGGGAAGTACGAATTACAGTGCACTCGACTTGGTCGATGGGTATTACCAATTGCGCATGAGAGCGAGTGATATTCCGCTAACAGCGGTGAGCACTCCGAGCGGCACGCTCTGGGAGTGGCTGGTGATGCCCCAAGGACTGTCAAATGCACCAGCAATTTTAATCGTCTTGTGACGCAGTTGTTCAGGCCCTACAGGGCGTATGCATAGACATAAAATGACGACATTTTCGTTCATAGTCGTGCGGATCACGGGAGGACAGATGAGGAGAATCACGTCGTCCATTTAAGAGCGGTGCTCAAGTGCATTCGCACGAACAAATTGTACGCCAATGCAGACAAGTGCATCTTTGGCACAGAAGAAATTCCCTTATAAGGGTGCTTCATTGGGAAGCGTGGTCTTCGAGCGGATCCCGCTTAGGTCAAGGCCACTGAAGACTGGCCGGCTCCAAAGAACCAGAAGGACTTGCGTAAGTGGCTTGGTCTCGCCAACCACTTGCACAAGTATAGCGTAAATTACGCAGAAATGGTCCGGCCATTATCCAATTTCTTTAAAATGGAAGTGGAATGGTGTTGGAACACCTAACACCAGGAGGCTTCTGACGGGGTCAAAGGCAGCCTCCTGCATGCACCGATACTGGCGCTGCCAGAACCCGATCGTCTTTTCAGCGTCGTCTGTGATGCTTCGGACTTTGCCATCCGCTGTGCACTGCTGCAAGCAGACGCCGAGGGGTGAGATCGGGTGATCGCGTTCAATTTTCGCCAGCTCCAAGCTGCAGAGAAGAACTACCCAGTTCATGACAAGGAGCTACTTGCGATGAAGAAGGCACTTGTCAAGTTCAGGGTCCACCTGCTCTGCTTCAAGCCGTTTGTGATCTACACAGATCATGCGTCACAACGCACTGCGACTCAGTCGTTCCACCTCTCGCAGAGGATGGATAGATGGCTCTCCTTCTTTGTGGAATATAACTTCGGGGTGAAGTATAAGCCAGGAAAGCAGAATGCTTTGGCTGATGCGTTGTGACGCAGACCAGACTATGAGCTTGCTCATGTTACAACTGTAACGTCGTATGTGACGGAATTGATCCACACGGCGTATGCGGGTGATGAGATGTGTGTAGCGTTGTTACGGGCTTTAGGGAGCAAGGAGTTTGGAGACTCGGGCAAGAAATTGTCATCAAGATTGCATGCACGATTGTTCCGATATTCGCTGAATAACGATTTGCTATGTTATAGAACCGATTCAACGGATACACCACATATTGTGGTTCCCCATGACGAGGATTTGAAATTTCGCATCCTCTAAGAGGCTCACGATACGCCACTAAGTGGTTCTATCATTCGTGAGAGAACGTTCAACTCTGTGGGTCACCACTATTGGTGGCTTAAGTTGTACAAATGGGCGAGCACCTATGTGCGCACGTGTGAGACGTGTCAACGGGTGAAACCCGCTCCAAATGCGGCTGCGCCGCTGGACAGCTTACTGGTACCCACTGGGTGCTGATATTTTATGCGTTTGGACTTTGTGCTCGTCCTACCGAT